TGCCAGATCAACTCAAGCTTCCATGCTTCGCAATCTCGCTGATTCCTGCCTTGGATCTCAAGTATCATTTCCAGGGTTTGTCAGCGTCGTCAGCCATGGCGCGCCGTTCTTCCCTCCTCCTCGTTCTTGTCACGATCATGCTTTGCGTTCCGCGTTCGTTCGCCGTTCGGTACGTCTCACCAAGTTTGGTCTCCAGGGAATCAACTGCATGATCAGCCAGGCGAAAAAGACCGCTCCGCTTCTGTTATCTATCATGAAGTTTGTAGCCCGTTATGAATTTACTTTGAAGAGATGCGTTTATAAGACCTAACCTTCGCATTTTTTTCTCAGATTGTGTCATGAGTCGAATTGTCGTTGGGAGTTCAAATAACAGATCCACCGCTTTCGCGGTCTATCCCGATGCGTGTACTGCAGGTCGCTCGTCCAGATGGAGCAGCAGGCAGCGGTGCAGCAGCCGGCAAATTCTCAAGCAACGCTCCCACCGAAGCAGATCTCGGCTAATTCGAAACCTAAACCGACTGCCGGAGCCAGTACTGTTGGTAGTCAGGACATTTTAGGCGAACTGGCTGCAGACGCGGTCAAAGCGGCGAACGAAGCACGCACTATCGCGGACGAGGGTGCAGAAGCAGCAGAAGCGACGGCAGCAGCGGCAAGCACTGATTTAACAGGCACTACAGTTGCCGAAACAGCAGCGGATGCTGCAGTAGCAGCAGCAGCAGCGGCAGTGCCAGCTGTCACTGGCGCAGGGGCGATGGTTCTGGGGACCGAGGCTGTGGACGGTATCGCTGACGTGGCAGGTGCAGGCTCCAGCGCAGAAGCCGCTGACGCCGTCGCGGCGGTCGCAGCCGCTGACGTGGCGAGCGCCGCCACGGACGCCGCGACCGACGTGGCTGCACACGCCGCCGAATCCGCTGCTGAAGAAGCCTCTGACGAGGAAGACGATCTCGATAGCGCCGAAGAAGCGAGAAAGAAAGCCTTAGAAGACGCAGAACTAGTCTGGCACAAGTGCGTGCAGTCAGAGAAGCTGGGCGAGGTGTGCGTGGGGGTGTTTGTGGATTCTCAGAAGGAGCCGCCGCTGCTGTTCTCGGAGATCAGCCTGCGGAACCACACGTTCCTGGTGCCGCTCGCCAAGGCCAAGGCGTGCTTGGACGACCAGCTGCTGCTCAACCTGCTCCTGCATGACCCCAAGCTTGCTCCTTTTGCTGCAGAAATCAAGGTGCGGTTTTTTTTGTCTTTGTTTTTTGTTGTTGTTATTCTGTTTTTGGTGCTGTTGAATTCTTAGCTATCCTGGGCATCTGAGAAGAGTTGAAATATGGTCACAGAAGACATTGATTTGTGGTCCTCGTTTTATGTAGATTCTGTAGTTGGCCGATTCAGCAATTCACATCTTTAAAATGTCCTGCAGGGACTAAATATGTTGTGTTACACCCTGACGGCCTTTTTTTATCCTCTCCTGTATCTTTCAACAGGCCATCATGATGGTGACAGTAGCGGTGGTTAACCGCATCAGCAAGTGTGTTGAGTGTACTTGTCTGGAATTCTTTCTTTCATACGCCATATAGATTACCTTGTTCTCACTTCTCTCCCAGCACACCTTCATTGTCGCGGGTAGGCAGGCTGCAGCAGCTGGTGTCATGAGCCAGTTCGGGCTTCCTGTAAACTCATCCCTTTCCACACGTCCTCCCTTTCTCCTGCTCACTGCCCCCTTTTTCACCTGGTTGTGTGTACACTCTTTTTTTCAACAGGCCATCATGATCATGGAGAAGCTGGCCGCTGCTGATGTCATCAGCGAGTGCGTACTCTTCAACGGCCTCTCCATTACAGTGGACAAGCCCAACGACTGCCTGTACATATCGGCCTGTCCCCGCCTCTGCTCCCGCCTGGGCTGTCGCCATGGGCATTGCCTCTACTCCAAGGACAAGGAGTTTGAGTGCTTCAGGGTGCGTGTGCCTCTGCACAGGCACAGCAGGGACGTTGCTGTGCGTTGATTCTCCTGTACATTTTGTTTTCTCCGGTTGTATAGGAACATTGCATGCATGAGCTGCCATCACCTGTCTCATGTCAAGGTGGCTTCTGCCTTGGCACATGCACTCAATGCGCTGCCAAGATGCTGATGTTACTGCCATTGATTTAAATGTTTGCATTGTTATTGTACAGTTACTAGTTAGCCAGCTCGACGTCTATTTTGGTGAAATTATCCTGATCCAAAAACCACCAGCTCAAATGTATATCCTGCCTTCAACAGTTCTCATGCATTGCCAAAAAAATGCTATTTCCAGCCTTTCCTTTTTTTTTTTTTTGAGCTTATCCATTCTCAGATTGTACCAATCTTGGGGTTCCCGTTACTGTAGCACCGACATTCTCGGCCCGCATTCACCCGTGATGCTGACTGAACTACTGTACTCCCCTCATCCCCTCTCGCTCTCCTTGCGCTCCACCTTTTCGGAAACCCTAAAAGGAGCTTCCTCCAGCATTTCCTGTCCTGACTTCCTTCTGTTTCATTCCTACTATGGCGTTTCTATCCTCCCAGCTAGTTTCGATCGGATGGCGATGCTTTCGTGGCTGCGAGGTTCCTAACTGGGAAAGTTTCTTAGTCTGCTAGGTTTCCTTATGCGTTGCGTTTTAGTCGTGTCTATCTTTTGAATGATTTTTGCGAACTAGGGCGTATTTCTTTCGTATTGTCGTCTGGCGTAGTTTAGGTGTTTATAATGGATCGGGCTACTCACGAGCCGTGCTGCTCTCATGTGCAGGCAAGTATTTTCTCTGCTTATAGTTTAGACTAAATCCACTCCGTCGTTCTTTTTAGTCCCAATGAAGGTTAAAGCTTTTATTTAAATCGAAGTTTCTTATGTTTTGGCAATGCCTCACATTTTTTACCTTATTTTCTCCGTCTTGGTTGTATTCCTTTCTTGTTACTGACACCCACGTCCTGCTCTTGCTCATTGTTACAGGAAGTGGAAAGCCTTCGTCAATTGCTGAAATGCGCAACGGAAGAACTTCAATCCGCGAGAACCGCTGCCGCGGCACAGGGACAGCTGCACGAGGCGCGGGTTCGATACCTGGAGGAGCAATTAAACGTGGTGAAGCGGGAAAGGGACGAATTGAAGGAGCAGCTAGAGACCGCGGAGCAGAAGCACAAGCAGGAGCTGGACCAAGCCCGATCGGACTCTCACGCCTTAATCCGACCCTCCATTACAGGCATGGTGACCGAGCCTGTGGACATGGCTCGGGTTGCCGAGCCTGTGGTCTTGGCTCGGGTGGAGAAAGTATCCATGACTCGGGTTGAATCCGTAAGCATGCAAACGGCGCCCAGTGCGTTGACACCGGGCTCCAGCATTCAGCAGTTCCAGCAGGGCGACACGTGGCAGATGACACCTCAGACGACCACCGTGTACCATCACGAGCAGCACCACCAGCAGCATCAGCCGGCGCAGCAGCAGCCTCAGCAGCAGCAGCAAGTGCAGCAAGTGCAGCAGGTGCAGCAGGTACAGCAGCAGGTGTTTCATCAGGTGCGGGTGGAGAGCCAGCAGACGACGGAGCAGCACCAAATAAGGACGTCGTTAGGAGCTTCTAGCGTTCCGATGCTCGCTGCTGTGCCACAGGCTGTAGCAGCGGCTGGGTCAGCTTCAGCTCCTGTGATTGTGGAACTCCCACCCGAGCCTGTGGTTAGTCAGTCGCAGGCGCAGGCCTCGCAGGCGACTCAGGCGACGGGCCGTGCGACAGGTCAGCAGTTGCAGCAGCAGCTGCCGTCGTCGCCTGCTGTCGCGCAGGTGCAGTCGTCAGGGCCGTCGCATCAGGCGTCGCAGTTGTCGCAGGAGCAGCTGCTGGCGATGGAGATTCAGCAGAGCGAGGAGCAGCTGCGACTGCTGCGACAGAAGCGACAGCAGATTCATGAGGAGGCGATGGGTGTGGATTCGCAGAGCCTGCAGCAGCAGCAGGAAGAGCAGCAGGTGCTAAACCAACAGCAGATGCTAAGACACAGCAGCAGCAGCAGCAGCAGCAGCAGCAGCAGCAGCAGCAGCAGCAGCAGCAGCAGCAGCAGCAGCAAATGCAGCAGCAATCGTCACAGCAAGCGCAGTTACAGCAGCAAATGCAGCAATTGCAGCAGCAGATGGAAGGGCAGTTGCTGTCTGCACAAACCGCCTCTGCTGCCGCAGGCGCAGGCGGGGGCACGGATGGCGGCGCACCTGCTCTCAGCCAGCCTCAGTCCCAATCGTTGCCACCGTTTCCGCAGCAGCAGCAGCAACAGCAGCAGCAGGGGAGTCTGCAGACTCTGCAGCCGTCTCTTCCCGCGCACACCTCCCTACCTGCCGTCCAATCGACCGCTCCCACTTCCTCCAGTGACCTGCCTCCCATCCCTGGGGGGTATTCCCAGGGGCCTTCCTCGGGATCTCACCCCCAGGCCTCGATACAGTCACAATCGATACAAGGGCAGGGCATGCAGGGAGGGATCCCGGGACAGGGGATGCAGGGTCAGGGCATGCAGGGGCAGGGGTTGTCCGCAGGGGCAGCAGCAGCAGCAGCAGCAGCAGCAGCAGCAGGCGCAGCAGCAGGCTGTGGTGCAGCAACCCACGGTAACCGGAGGGCAGGTGTTGATGGGCACAGGCGTGGCAGAAGCACCACCGGCGCCACTATCAACCCTTGGAGGGGGCTCCGTCACTGCGTCGCCTGCAGTGCGCACAGCCTCGGGAGGAGGTTCGGTGCAGCGTGCCGGAGCTAGCTCGCTGCTTCGGCAAGGGTCCGGGGTGGGAGGTGCTCCCCAGCTAGTACAGTCCGTGCCGTCGTCTCCTCAGGTGGGATTCGAAGTAGCCTCTAGCGCGGATAGCTTTCCCAACCAGCAGGGTCAGCTAAGTCAGCAGCAGCAGGGGCAGGGGCAGGGGCAGGGGCAGGGGCAGCAGGGTCGGATGACAAGAGTGGGTAGCTGGAATGACCTGACACAGCAGTGCGGGGCAGCAGCGGCTGGGGGATCATCGACAGGAGGGGGCATGGCAGGGACGGGCATGGC